TTGGGGGTTCCTTATTAGCATGTAGTTATAGTATAATATACCCTAAACCCCCAATTCTAACTATGAAGGTCCCTATATTCCCAATACAGCTGCATTCTCTCAGACTCTCAGGCCCCGAAGCATGCCTAGGGATCTTGGCCCAGGCGCTGTAGACTGAGGAGATCCTTCTGCAGAGACCATCTCCTTTCAGTTAAGATAGGGACCTGAATACTTGGAGTAGGGTTTTAGGGTGTTTTAGGCTATACTTGGAAAAAGGAACCCACAACGTAGTACCAGTAGACTAGGGTTTGGGGTGTTTTACACTATAACTATAACAAGGAACCCCGAACATAGTATAATCAGAATAGGGTTTTGGGGTATATTAGACGGTAACTATAAAAAGGAACCCCGAACATAGTATAATCAGAATAGGGTTTTGGGGTTTTTAGACTATAACTCTAATAAGGAACCTCCAAATAGTATAATTAGAATAGGGTTTTGGGGTATATTATACTATAGCTACAATAAGGAACCCCCAAAAAGCCATAGGCAATTAGTAAGGCCCCGATATTACCCCTCGGCCCAAAAGCCCTGAGTCGGAGAGCAAGGGGGGAGATGTCCAGGAGCAGCAAACCGCGAATCTGACCCCAGAACTTTCGTATCCTACCAGAACGTAATGTGAACGGGACTCTGAGATACCTCTATAGCAATAAGTATGTATATATATATATACATATATACATATACATATATATATATACACATACATACATACACACATATATATATATACATAACCATATACATATATATATATATGTATTTCTTTATTTGTTTACAAATGAATTTACAACAAAGCTTCCGCCAATGGTTTCTTGCCACAAACATATCTGTCAGCACCTCTGCGTGGCCAGCGGAGAACCACCACGAGTACTTTAGCTGTATCATGATGTTATCTCTCCATGCGCCGGAAATTTTCCTGAGAACCCCTCAAACCCTAAACTTCCTAGCCCTATCTCCTGTAGGACATTGCTTGAGTTTGATGTTCCTAAGCCAAGTTTTGTTGCGGGTATCTCTGGTGTCCTCGGCCGGCGCGGCAGGACATGGGATCTTGAATGTATTCCTCAGTAGAGGGGCGGATGTCTCTTGTGCTTGTTTCGGGTTTAGGGGCTTGGGCTTCGGAGTTTAGGTTTAGGGTTTCATGGAATTTAGGTTAGGCCGTTGAGGCTCAGGGTTCCTGTTTCGACTCGCAGACTCGCACAACGCAGGCACGGATCAGAGCAGCGTCGGAAGGGTTTAGGGAGTTTAAGTTTAAGCGATTCGGGCCCAGAGCATGAGGTTCAGGGATACAGACTCACGTCGCACACAACAACATCAGATGCCCGCCACAAGAGACCCTAGCCGGAACACTCATGCAAGAAACAAAGAGACGAACACTCAACCTCTCCGGAGACAAGAACTGGTGATGAAGGGCCACTCCTGTGATGACCATGGAAACAGCTAGAAACATGCAATCACATGCCCTTGCTCCAAGTTTCATGTCCAACGCGTCGAGGACCGGTGAAAGAACCATGTCCTCGGCAGGTTGGTAAGCTTGCCGGCATACTCGACTCTCTTCCCATCCTTCCCTGACAGAAGAGTGCAGGTGACTCCCGACTCTGCTGGTCATATGTATGTATTTTATGTATGTATGGATGTATGTATGTAGACATATATATATATACACATATCTGTTCGCTTTTTATAACTCTATACATACATATATATATATATATATATATGTGTGTGTGTATATATATATATATACATATACACAAGTTACACAAGTGCTTTTCTGTTTGTATATGCATGCAGACACAGACAGAGGGCTTACGCTGTTGCATGTTCCAATTTTATTGGGTTCCTATGCCGTTTCTGAAGTTGCTGATGCACTCACATGTCCGGGTGGGCGTTGGGGAAACTGCTACCAAGTGGCATCAAAAAACTGTGTGCTACTAGGGAGTATCTAACTGCCAATATTGCCGCGCTTAAACCTGTTCGATGCGATGCATTCGTACATACACATGTTCCAGCATAGACTCCCGTGTGCTTATGAGCACTACCACACAACTGCACATGCACGTGCAAACACCCTCAACCCGCTGCCGTTCTGCGGCACGCTCAACCTAGACCCTTGCAGCTGAAAAGAACGCCTACCGATCCAACACAGTTTGTACCAGCCAAATCTCCCCGAATCCGAAACCCCTGATAGTCTTAAACCTGAAGCCTTAGCTCAACTAAACCTCATGAAATGCTAAAATCACGAACCATAAATCCTACAGTACCCCGAACCACCACAGCGCTCCGCGTCCCTCCGGGGGCCGTGCGGCTGCGGAGGCGAGGCGTGCGACCCAACCCGGCCTTCCATTTACGGGGTTTAAGGTTTCGGCGCTCGCACTCGGACACTCCAGGCCAGGGATTTGGGGCTTCGGTTTTTTTATGCAATGTGGGCACTTGATTTCCGAGTGACTCTTGTAATGAAGAGGACAAGTAGTCGGGAAGCTACCGGCTAGCGAAGGCTACGCAGAGGGATGTGTTGCAGTTGCTCTGTGATGTTGTATGCTTCTGTAGCCGGGCGTCCATGTGCGTGCCATGGCTCGACAGTAGGTCTGAACGTTTTATTGTAGTCTATAAAATTGAATGCAGTCCAAGGGACAGGGAGGGCAGCTCTAAGCGTCCGCAGAGCTCTGTGCAAAAGTGCAGACAGTTACCTTGGTCGTGCACGTGGGCGGGTGATGGCGGACGGACACGCACCCAGGCCCTTCGAAGCATGATTCATGACCCATCTCGCAGATTAAACTTGCACGGCTTCAGAAGACACGGTGATACCAATACTTCAGTACTGTATTGCCAATACTTCAAAGCTTTATTGCGGAACCAAGGCAAGTCACGCTTCAGCGGGTGGTAGGCTGTTCCGAGCCAGTCTACCGCGATGCTGCTCAGGAGACGCCACACGTCCTGACATCAGATATGAACATTGACATCTGTACCAACCCATACATGTACACACAGAGGCCAAGACACAAGCCCTCGCACGCACACACACACACACACACACCCACTCACTCGCTCGCTCTCTCTCTCTCTCTCTCTCTCTCCCCTAGATTTTTTAAACATCCCGTCTCATCCTCTGACTGCATGTTGACCGGGCCCAAGCAGACAGAGTCCCTGTATACGCCAGCGGGACAGCGCCGCCTCAGGATGGTAGAAGATTTTGGTGGTCGATGAAGTGGATTGCGATAATAGAAGGCTTCTTTAAGGACCCTAAAACCAGTTACAAGGGATCCCTGTGTCAGTCCGACAGCAAAATAAAGCGGCGTCCTTGGTGACTCGTCAAAGGCTTATACCGGCCATGCAAGCTCCTTCCCTCTGGGCCTAAACTCTTTTTTGGCAACAGGCCTCGTTGTCCAGCGGTGGACAACAAAGCCCCTAAACCCTAAACCGCAGGAAAGGGTACCGGTGCGGAGCGTAGAACACGATATCAACGATATGTATTCGACTGACGATGCAGCTGCCGATTAGCATCGCTGAACCCTCCGGAAATCCTCGGCGTGCGCAGCGGTCTCTCACGAGTCTAAAGAGTTGGCAATTTCGACTTTTGCAATTCCGAAGAAGCACGTTACCACGACTTTCGGAGATGACAGTTGGGTTCCCCAAACCCCAAACCCTAGCCCAAAGGCCTTCACTACGGAAGAGAAGCAGCCTGAAGGCATCCTTGCCAGAAGGACGCTCAAGAAGGCGAGCGGCAACTTGAACCAAAGAAGCCCCACGAATCAAGCACGATCTGAAACAATATAAACCCCATCGTGCTACTGGACTCAATGATTTAATATACACCCTGTAATCTACCTGATACTACGATCTGAACCCTGTAGGCTCCATGCTCACGAAGCGCAGACCAACTAGAAGCCCCGCCAGGAGCTATGAACCAATGCTTCCTTCAGCATAACATGTGGTGCCTCACCTCAGTAATTGTACGACGATTTTCGGGTATACTGTGATGGAATTACAGGGATGGTATGATTGAGTACGCAGGCCATGGAAGTGCTGTAGTTAGGGGGGTCCGGTGCATGTCGTCGAAACCCTAAATTTCTAAACCCCTAACCCTTAAACCCTAAACCCTAAACCCTTGCCCACGAGGCACGGCTCCACCGGATAGATCCCCGTCACAGGATGCTGGCCTTCCTTCCATGGCGGGTGCTGCTCTCATCCCCAGCGGCCGAAATCCCCGGACAGAGCCTAGTAGAAGGGTCGGTTCCGAGGTTCACTGTATCTGTTTCGGAACTCCGGGGGCAGTTGAACATGACGTGGGTGATATGAGAGCCAAAAAAAATTCGTAAGAACCACCATCGTCGAATCTCATATCTCCGCCACGAGTGAGAAGGGAAACAAAACAGCCGACCTCTTCAGTGCTTTGACTGCCTAGACTGACATGCACCTAAGATGCTAGAAACCTTGTGCAGGGCTGGTTAAGTCGTCCACAACCACACCGTCAAAGCGCTACTTCACATCCCAAAGTCTGACTACATTCTGTTTAGCGTCGGCATCGCTTGCTTGTTTTCATTCTTGCGTCGTGGTTGCGACGGGTACAGTAGTAGCTCACACTGCAAGCAACAAGCACCCAAACCCTCCAGCTGACAGTTTTCACATACAAACATCTATCTTACTGTCTATCTATCCATGTATATTTATATATATATATATATATATACGTGTGTATATATATATATACATACATGTACATTCACATCACGACGTCTCATGCCTCGATGAAAACTTTGTAAAGCATTAGCAACGCACCGATCCATCGATAGATCTGACTATCTATCCCATTCTATCCCCTCAATTATCTACCTGCTCATTTCTGTGCATTTATGTACGAGTGTATGCCCCCTTATTTCAGACTGTGTCTCGGAGATTACAAACCGACTACAAGACGGAGCGAGAGAGGAAGAGAGAGCGAGAGAGATGCAGGAAGAGAATCAAGACCATGCCACGGCCTGCACGCCGACGTACCCATACGCCCACCTGAATGCAAGAGACATCTGGGATCGCGAGGCCAGCTCCTCATCCCAAAAAACCCGAAAGCCTAGTGCATCCGACAAGCGACCCCAACGCGTCTGCGTCCAAGATGATTCACACACATCGGACATGAATAAAGATTTCTATACTCCACAAACACATGCCTCCAGCCACGAATCATGGCTTTGAAGTGTCTTACGGTAGAGATCAATCAAAGGCTTGTCTTGCAAGCTGGGGCTCTCCACGCCGAACAGCTCAATGCCCGCATGGTAGATGCCCAAACCAACGGGCTGCAGCGTGCTGTTGGTACCCTGCAGTCAACCCAGATGGAGCTTGGGGTTGTTCTGATCCGAACTGAGGTTCCCATTAAGGTAGATAGATTGGCAATGGCATAGTATGACCATAACCCCCTCTCGGTGAAACAAAGTAATGAAAGCCCCCACATGGGCTATCGGATTTGGTCGTGCACTTTCCCGCAGTCCTCAGGGACCAACAGACGAGCATATGAAATAAAGCTAAGTTGCATCACAGGGCTGAGTTTCAAGATGTCTCAAGCTGCCTGACGTGCGGTTCTTCGGTGTTGCCGGCAAGCCACGGAGCCTCACCCCAAACCTTGAGACAAACCGTGTGACAAACTCACTACGAACGAAGTTCATAGACACAACATACGCGCATCTACGAAGCTGGGAAACATTTATCGAAGGCTCTAGGCTCCGGTTGAACGGCGACAGTAGAAGCAACATCATTGTGCCGAACTCGTTCTCATTCCAGAGAACTGCGTTCCTCCAGGCTCTCTTCGTCTTTACCTTTATTTATTAACAATGAAATTCGCTTTCACCCCGCGAAGCGGGCCCCAAAGCATGCAATGTGGACTTAGGCTTATAAGAAAACCGTGCACCGTGCTACTGAGAGGTGACAAAGCACCCATTACCTTCTTAGACTCTTGCCTCTCTGTAACCCTGCACGCGGACTATGGCGGATTCATCGTTGTCTTCATGATGCCAAGCTTCGCAAGCGGATAGTCAAACGCTGAGGTCACATAGCAGTATGTCCTATGGGCCCCACCGTCTGCCAACATCCTCTACCTCGAAAGCCGACGGCCTGGGTCCCATGCAGGTCGTAAACGTGAAGCCATGCGATGGGCCCTGCGCAAGGATGGGGGGGTTGGGACCGAGTTGGACAAGTCTCTAGTCTCACTTCGGACACATACGACAGGGCTCCGGGCATGCCCACTAAGACTTCATAAGCCTAGTGGGATGTCGAACTGAGCTTGGAGAGTTTGGAGAGTGCCCGCCGCACCACTATCTCCTTGGAGGGTCGAGAAACTGAGCGCTGTTTTGGCATTCAGGGCTGGGAGTTTGTGCGACAAGACATTGTCGCCCTCTGCATCCGGTAAGAGACATGGGCGGAGGATTGCACTTTCAGGGCTTGATTTGCCAACATACCGGGTCCGGTCTTGCAGATTCTTGTGAGGTCATGCCACCTTCACCGGGCAGCAACTGCCTTCCAACCTGAAGATCCAAACCCCCTTCAAGGAATTCAGAAGTCGAAGGCCGCTGATGAGAGTTCCAGGCACCCCTGAGAGAATTTGAAGGAGCCGCGGATGAAGGAACGGCCTGGCTTATAGACCAGCCAGAGAAGCGTGCCTTCTGCCTCGGACTCGCCGTCGGATGTCTCAGAATCCTCGACTCCAAGTATATTGTATATAATAGGGACTGCGACACTCATGTACAAAAAGAGCGATGCGTCCAGCTGTCACAAAAGACGGGGATGTTACCCATGTTGCAAACGCTCCCGGCCATAACTTGAATGAGTGTGGAACGAATACCTTTTCTTGGGAAATTGCGAGACGCGACATGGCCGGAAACGGCGCAAGACTATCGGCGACCTACATACATCTCTGATGCATGTTCAGGCTCTCAAAACTCAGAAACATGTTTCACACCAAGCACCGCTCCTTTTCATACTTTGCTGGATAGGAGTCAACGAAGCAGGAATATGGGGTTTCATGTATCCCGTATCTGTCGCCGATGTTGGCCCAAACAAAGCTCCAAGCTCAGAAAGCAAACTCCAAAGCCACTAACCCTAAACCCCTGAACCCTAATCCCTAAACCCCTAAACCCCTAAACCCTTTTGCAACTGGCTTGCAGCGTCACGCCAGGACAGCTGTCTCGCTCCTAAACCCTAAACCCTAAACCCTAAGCCGCCAAAGGCCATAGCCCTTTTCACCCCTTCATGCAGGCCCTGTCCTGCTCAGAGGGCTTTCGCACCGCCAGCCTCGGTCTGATGGGAGAGGCCTTGTGGGGTTAATATAGATGCCTGAATAATTAGACTAGAGTTTCGGTGCATATTATATGAGACTTATACTGAGGAGGCCTGAAGAAGGACAATATTGGTGCTTATTTGGGCTTCTATATTAGAGTCTGCGCCATGCACTTGTTGAGGCGGAAGCCTATTTCTGAGGATCTGCGACACCATCCGTTCAAGTGAGGGTCGTTCCTGGTTGCATCATGGCCTTTTGCTGGGAAGTTATGCATCCGGGATCAGAAAGGTAATGGTAGACGATAGTCGCCCAAAGGACCAAGAAGCCTTCTTGGCCCATCTTGAGCTGACCACAAACCGGAGCTCGGAACAACGATTCAACAACCCTACCCTACGGGCCCTGCAGGGTTGCGTGTCAAGCAGGCAGATCATGCAAACGCACTACTACGACCTAGTCGCGGTGGCACTGATCTTGGAAGCTTGTAAGTGTGGTAGTGACAGTGATAGCGGTAGTTGTAGTGGTAGGGGAGGAGGAGCAGCAGCAGGAGCAGTAGCCATGGTAGTAGCAGTAGCAGTAGCAGTAGCCGTAGCAGTAGTACTAGTAGTACTAGTAGTACTAGTAGTACTAGTAGTACTAGTAGTACTAGTAGTAGTAGTACTAGTACTAGTACTAGTACTAGTACTAGCACTAGTAGTAGTAGTAGTAGTAGTAGTAGTAGTAGTAGTAGTAGTAGTACTAGTAGCACTAGTAGTAGTAGTAGTAGTAGTAGTAGTAGTAAGAAAGCAGCAGTATCAGCCGCAGCAGAAGTAGC